TGGAATTAAGTATATTTTAAAATTTGACTACATTAGAAGGAAGAGCCCTCGTGATTTTGCAGGTAGTTCGTTCCAATCCACTATAGTGCGATTCACAAAAGAGAACTTGTCTACATCAGTTCTTTGTTTTCTTTTCGTATTTTTCAAGGTCCCCTCTGCTTTTATAATCTCGTTTCTGTAATCTTCTATCGATACCTGCCCACTAGTCGCTTTTAATCAATACAAACTTCAAATTTCCTCCCAAGACTCGCATTTGAATTCATTTGTACATCTCGAGTTGAACTGTGGGCTTCATTTCCACGGCGTGGACCGTGGGTCCATCCCATCAACACCACAAACCGAGCAAACGAAAGTATTCCGACGGCAACAGAAAAGAAGTCGTAGGCTTCCGCGGCCAGTCATGTGGGTGATCTTGGCTGTCCGGGTGACGCCGCGTCGAAGGCTGTGTTGCCGACGTTTCGACCATCTTGTCGTGGTCTTCTTCACACAGCACACCAGCCCTGAAGAAGGCTGTGTTGCCGACGTTTCGACCATCCTGTCGTGGTCTTCCTCACACAGCACACCAGCCGTGAGGATGACCACGACAGGATGGTCGAAACGTGGACAACACAGCTTTCGACGCGGCGTCTCCAGGACAGCCCAGATCACCGGCAACAGAAATGCTTCGCTGGAGGAGAGCCCGAAGCCGTTGAGGCCTTTCAAGTTCATAGGAGAAACGCGAGGAAGTAGAAAGCCCGCGTGAGACGCCGTCTGTCTCACCCGCCCCATTATCTCAAGGCCGCTTCCGACGCGCCATTGAAGAAGACTCGTGCACGCCGCCACGCGACGCGACGCAACCGAAAGCGGAAACGGCCGGAGACTCTTTGTGCGAACGCCACGCGCGCTCATTTCCACCGCGGCCGCCGTCGCACGGTTGAGTCATTTCTCGCACGCGTTAATTCGTCAAGAAGCGACGTTGTCACTTTCGTTCTCGGGATTTCGTTCGCTGCTTCTTTTTTTATGATTATTATTTTTTTTGTCCGGCCCGGGGCGCGGATAAAAGCGAGAATGCTGGCGAGCGAAAGGCCTGCTGGCTATTCATCTCGCAGCCTTGTGTTCTTCTTGTCGCGGGCGGCGTGTGGTGGACGAGCCGCAGGGGCTATGACCGCCGTCAGCGCCGCCTTTCTCTCGCGGTCAGCTGCGCCGAGGTATCCGGTAGCCGCCGGCGATGTTCGCGCTTTGGAGGGAACGGGTCGGCTGTCTGACGGTCAGTCGCGGGGCGTGGAGAGCACTGGGGTTTCCCGGATGTGGACTACCGGCTGGAGGGAATGCAGTGTGCCGAAGCCTATTTTATCACTTTTTCTTTTTTTCTTTCTTAATCTTATCGTACAACATGAAATCGACGCTCGAGTCTCCAGCATACGCGATTAACATCAAACATCTTTGAGTCTCTCCAGCGCAAGTTCCTATGCATTTTAAGCCAAAATACGTTTTAGCTAATACTTTTTAGCCTAACTCCTTGCCAGGAAATTTTTTAAAAAAAGAAATCAATTCAAAAGAATTTACTTAAGAATACTTGTTAATCTTGGAGTAATATTTAAAAACAATATTTTAAATGGCTTGAAAATAATCCTTTTTCAATTTTGTGATGTGTTTGCGCCAGAAAAAGCAGCTCCCATATTTGAATTTCCAAACAGAATACCCTCGTTCTCGCGAGTTTCAATTCTCTCGTTCATCGTTTTCGTTCGCCAATCTCCCGGCGATGGGAGTCAATCTGTGATCAGCGAGTTGATAAGGAACCCTTTTATCTACTCCTTTTTTTCATTTTTTACATTGTTCCCAATATTTCGAGTCTCTATGGCGAAGTAAAAGATACAGAAATTTCACAAATAAAATGATATATCCTTATGTTGAACAGGGAATATGGTGCAATATAATATAAACAAAAGCATTTTATGTGAACAATAAAATAGATGCATGTCTCATTAACCATTCCTCACGTTCATACTTTATTTAGGATGTAAGAAATAATGTATGATACTCGACCGCAAATAGGTTCATTCCTGTCTTACTAAAAAATATTTTTTAAACGTTCCTGGGTGGTAACAGCTTTAGTATAAAAATATTTCAAGCGCATGAACATTCTTTAATATGTACATTCATGTTAAGAAGAAACGCATGAAAAATGCAAGTACCCATAGCCGTAACTTTCTTTCAGAGAGTATTACAGTAGAGAGTAGAGAACAAAAAGGAACTTCTATTGAACATAACTTTTACTTTCACGCAATGTGAAAGGGGAAAGTCCCTGTTTATAGTACAATTGCATAAAAATTGTTCATTTCAATAGTACACGTTAACTTTACTATAAGGAGACAAGTTAACGTAAGATAAGTACTCACTGTGCCAACTTCTGCGTTAAAAATTTTTAATATCTATATTAGTAAAATAAAAGTGTCCGCCCATCTTTTCAAAATAACGGTCTCCATTAAGCTTATATTAAAGTTTCTTAAATTAAATGTTACAAACTTCTGTATCTTATAGAGAGGTTGAAAATTATCCCTTTTGCCAATAAAATTATTGTAAGAAATTGTTTACAAGGGAATTATATGCATTTGTATCTGTGACTTTCCCCCGACTGTTAGGCAACCCCGTATGCACAGGTGTTCGGAAATAATATTAAATCTCCTTGACGTAATCCTCCGAATATCTCTGCATAAGAAGTTTCCTAAAATTGAGCATAATGGCACATGGGTTACGCGGTTGAATTAAATTTCCCACTATATGTTCATTGGAAAAGGTGATCATTTTCGTCCTTCTACATGCCCTAGAAATTTGTTCTGAAACATTCTGTACGTTTATCCAATACGTGTCAAGAACACACATGATACATGTGTATACAAATGTGATATAAAAACACATTAAATTATTTTTATTTCCTTGCCTATTAGCACTTTCGCAGTATGTAAAGAAAGTATTGTAGTGCTGCGGGAAAAATCGGCGCTTTTTCGTCCGAAAACCTCATATTGCTGGGCCCTTGTCACTAAAAAGTGGATAAACCTTGTTCCTATGTGTAGTAAATTACTTCCTCTAACAAGTTCTGTGATAAAAACCATGTTTGATGGGGCCTTACACAAAAAAATCGATTAATAGCAAAACGTCTGCTCATGAAAAATGCTAACAGATAAACTATAAACATTTTCACCAAACTGGATATTTTCCGATCGAAGATATTTGTAGGGCTGTAATGTATGTGTCCCAGAGTACCAGTTTGTTACATCTCTAGAAGGGGTTACGCTTTGTGCGTATCGCAACGAATTCGAGTCGTGGACACAGCATCCTCCGGCGGTGGCAACAAACCGCAAACGAGCACATGAGCGCGATGTAGCTCTCCGCGGGGCCCGCGCCCGCCCACCCGCCAACCCGGCCCTCGACGCTGCCTCACGTTTCGGCATTCCAGCGTAACGGTGTCCTCCGCCAAAGGCACGGCGCGGCGCGGAATTTTCACGCGTATTTTCCCGTTCTTCGCCCAAGTAGTCAGTTTGATAAGTTACACTTGCCTTGCCGTAAACCTGTCAATCGATTAATGTCAAAATTCATACAGCAAGCACTCGCCTGGTTGCACGCCTTTGAATGCGACACTCTGTTGGACAGACTGTTTGACCACAGTCGCTAACACATTGAAATCGATGTAGACACGTTTCTTAACATGTCTTCTCCAACGGACTCTCTACTTACCAGTCGACTTGTTTCTCTTGCTTATACCGGTCTAGATTTAACTCGGAACTCCTATTTTCATCTTAGGAGTAATTTGATAGTCTATCACCATTTTAGAATTTTTGTTCTTATAATTCTGAGCCACTTTCTTCTGGTATTGGACAAGGTTACGATGTACATTTATAACCCAAACTATGGCTTACAATCTACAAAACACGTTTACAAATAGTATCGTTCCCTAGAAGTATGCATGTATGGAAACTCTCGAACAATAAGTACAAGTGTTGACCCTGACATATTTATCTCAGTAATTTCACATCCTGTCACTGATGATGATCATCGGTGAGAGACAAGTCTTCTGTTAAGGGTCATGGGTTCAAATCCTCACGTTTCATGGGTGTTTTGTAGTTTACTGCCTCCCGTTATGTTGGTCCAGGGACCGAGAAGCCCTCAAGTGTGTTAGTGGGCCCAGATTATCGTTTTAGACACGATTTAAACACCCATTGCTGAGTGAAGGATACATTAGGAAAAGACATTGAAGTAAGGAAGGGAGCGAAGAGTAATTAGCATCGATATGTCGATAAACAGCAAAACCCCAACCGAGACTTATTTGTTTTAACGGCCGCATGTTATTGAATACTTTTCGTAATATCTTCTTTTGAAAAAATCATATAAACAAGAAATACCATTTCTTGGAATAAATGTACTCGTACGTTATCTTTAGCTATAACTCATTTGTTTCGATTGCTCTTAACTGACGGCGGACTGTTAAATCCTTAACGGACGCCGGTCTTTGAGTGCCTTTTCGTTCCTTCCCTTTACGTCAAGTCGATATAACAGTACAATAGTTGTGAGACATTCTTACCCGCCTAGTCCTCATTTTCAATACGTAGCCCTCCTAGAGGATTCTAATCGTCATTTCTTTTGTTTCCCGCGCAGGCGCAGTTCTGCATCGCCTTCATCCACTCGGCGCAGCTGCTGTGGATCGACTGCGGCTACCCGTGGTGGAGCGTCTTCTTCACCCTGCCCAACGCCATCTTCTTCTACTACCTGTTCGCCGACTTCTACAACAAGGCGTACAAGGGCAGCGTCGAGGCGAAGGCGCAGGAGAAGAAGGCGGCGGAGAAGGCGGCGGCCATCGAGGGCGACAAGAAGCGCTCGTGAGCGCTCGCCGAAGGTAGGCCAACGCGGTCGAGCGCGCGTATGGGAACACGCAAATACGAAATGTCAGCGGATCAGAATCACGAGTGGGGACAGCGATTATGGGAATCGCGTGGATGTACAAGATCTTCAACATGTGGGAGCGTGGGCTTCCGCGGCCGGAGTCAGTACGTACTTGGGTCTCCGGGAGACGCCGCGTCCAGGGCACGGGTACCAACGGCATGGCAATAACTACGCCCTGATGAAGGTCACAGAATGGCGACCGAAACGTTGGCACCCGTGTCCTGGACGCGGCGACTCTAGGATAGCCAAGTAAGTACTATCTTCAACATGTACACTTACTACTACAACTCATACAGGTATTCAGTGGTGTAACTACAAGGCCCGCAATGCTGGCGGGCCTTGGTGAAAGACGTCCTGTCTTTGGGCTGAGGCTACTTTTATTATGTAAGGTACTAACATTACTTGTGTCTGCTGTACACTTTCATAAAGGAGGACAGGATAAAAGTTTTGCGTACGTGCCCGTACTCATTTGATACTCTACTAGGAGACGTACACAAACTATGAGGACATGTACACACACTACATGTATGCTACACGAATGAAGGCGTATGGATGCTACTCGAACAAACTTGAAGACTACAAATACATATTTAATTTTTTGAGTTTATTTGATAATCGTTGGTATATGGTGAACTTTTACAAGCAAATTTTGCTACATATTACTTCGCTTTTCGTCTGCATTTTCAATTTGCGTTTTTCAAAATCTGCTTTTGAATTTTGTTAGTGATTGAGCAAATTCGCTTAGAACCATCCTCCTCAGGTCTAGAAACCATTCTGGGTGAAATTGAAATCCCGTTTGCTTTGTTAAAAAATTAAAAAATAAAAAATTTAAAAAAAACAATAGCATAAGGTTTCTGGGGAGTCATTTTGAGTGAATAGTAATTAGTTCCAGTGGTTTTATATATTAATTTAACAACAAAAACAGTTAAAAGCTATATAAGGCGTATTATGTGAAGAATTGGAATTCACAAGTTGAATTTTTGAGTGGGTAAAACCACAGAAATAACTACACAAACACATTTTCTTTCGAATGGAACGCTGTGCCTGAGGATGATAAGTGCATAAAAGTGCGCCCTTTCCCTTCTTTGCTTCAAGTATCACAAGTAGAATAATATATGTTCTGCCTATTGTTCCTCACCTTCTCACAGCTTCTAACACTACGGTTCCTGGGTTTTCGGTAAATTAAACTTGCAAACAGTAAGGGAGTCCACCATATGAGAAATGTTCTAAGAGGTGAAGACGATCAATATTTTTAAACAAAATAGACCCGCCATATGCAATGTAGGAAGGAAACAATGATCACAAATAAAGAAAGAATATGAATAGTACCGTTGTTGTCGGTGTTGTGATAGCCACAATATCGCAAGAAAGATGTTTTAGACTTTAATTTTATGCTAACTTTCTTTCTTTGCGATTTACGTTATTTCGAAGCCAAAGGTATTTAATCAAAAATAATCTACAATTTTTTTTTTCAACGAAACACTTGCTACATCCTCCTGAATAACATACAACTCAAACAATATTAAGTATTAATTATCAACATTAAGTAATAGCTCTTTTTCTTCTTTATGAGAAGAAAGTGTAAGTGAAAATTAATCCATGAATCTTGAAAACGCTGTGTAACAATGATTTGTATTAAGAGATCCCTTGCTGGTGTAACCTAAGTAACATATTGCACTGTGAATTTGTATAAAAAATATACTGTTAAGAACTTGCTTTGCAAACATGCTGAAAAAGGAACAAAATACATTTTTAAAAAGAGTTCAAATATGCTTGCGTACACAGTTTATGATTTCTATTTTGAGTTCAAAACGGTTTCAAGTTAACATATTATAAATAATTGCATATCCACCTGCCTTAATCGATGGTGACCGCAGTGTCTCGCTCTGTCGGCGGGTATGTGTGAACTACACCAATGTGTTTAGCGTTCGCTATCAGATGTCTCGACCGTACAAAAATGTATCCACCGTCAGTGGCGGATAACTTGAGTGAACGATGTGGCAAGACCCATTTTCTTTTCTGTATTTTTCACGTACACAAAAACTTAAAGTAATATACAAAAGTAAATTTTAGTAAAACTGTTTGTTGTCTGTTTTGGATAATTTATTACATGCAACCATGACACATTTTTTATAAGTTGTTTAATTGACAAAATAATTTTTACTTTCTTGAATGCTACCAACGTAATATAAAGTATTGTATTATTGCAGGAAAACGGTATTTTTTATTGGTATGTCGTACTATTCTCAGCTAAACTCTATTAAGTTTCAAGCGTATAAGTGGCGACTAATTACTTACAACCTCCATTAACTATTTTTATGAAAGATTTCCTTAATTTTGTGCGACTTATTTCACCGTCTGAGTTATGTTTCACATATCAGCCTGATACTAGTGTGTTCAACAAATACTCTGTAAAGCGAGTAAGACGTGCACTATTGGCATGTGTTTTATTCGATTCCCCCTTTATCGTGGATTTCACAGAAAGAAAACTAAATGCTTAATTTTATGTGAATGTTACGACCCCTATCACAGAACATTTTTCGGGACGAGCTTGGTGAAAATAGAGCTATGCCTGCTTGTGCATGTGCTAACATCTTGTGGAAAGTTGTAAGAGGATTGGATCTTAGAATTATTTACATTGTGCAAGGGACCATTACCCATAACCTTCAAGTATTTATTATTATTATTATTATTATTATTATTATTATTATTATTATTATTATTATTATTATTTAATAATCTGATTTGGCTTGGTCTTCTTAGCATGATACTATTAATAATACAAATTTGTACAATACAAATACTCGGTTTGTCAAATGAATGTTCTACAAGCCCCACTTGTACGCGAGTTCTTGATGAGTGCATGAAACTTTTACGTTTCAAACGTATAATCCATGATTTACTGCAACACGGAGAAGGAAACCGTATTACACGAGAGAAGACATTTTGAAACTAGCTAAATGAGAATGGTGCATACGGTAGCAATGATATTCACCTGAATGGTCCTTGGAGGCGTGGACGAACCCCTACCTGACCTCTCGGTGTCTCTTGTTCAACAGGCAGCTGCCCTTCTCGCCCCGTGCTGCCGGTGCTGCTGCAAGATTGTCGCCCAGCAGTCTCGTTACGTCACTCCCACATCGCCACCTTGCCATTGAACGGCGGTTGCTGCTGCTGCCGCCGCTAACCTACGACCTCGGCTTCGCTGCCACTTCCGAAACGGAAGTAACAGTCACAACCAGCGAATCGCCCCCCACCCGCGCCACTTCCATCGCCGTGTGCGCCGATCGAGCGTCGACAATTTCACCGGCTGCACTGTAGCTACACATCGTCTACGGAGCATAATGGTCGAGTCATCTGGATACTCGTTTCCCTTCCCTGCCTGTGCTTCAAACGATTGCACTTGTAACTACACTCGGCATTCAAACCAGGAAGGACAAATTCATCCGAGTGCCCTCTCGTGGGCTTCCTCTGCAATGGCCGTAGATCCAGGGAGGGATCTCTTCATTGACCAACTGTAGGTGCACGCCGTTTCCTCAACAAGGGTCGACATTCATGTGGGTGCTTGTGCAGCCTTCAGCACCAGAACAACGTGTGTGCTTATAGTGCGGGTGGTGTCTCAATACCTCAAGTACAAGACTTTTGCCAGAACTGCTGAAGATGCCGTTATATGTTGCTCATTGTAGTGTTGAAATACAATTGTAAATAAGCTGGTTGAAATATTGTAGTTAATATACATTATCTATTCTGTAGCTCAATCATGGTGTGAATTAATGGGGAATAATAGATTCGCCCTCTGGGGAGTTAAGTATCTATCACCCCTACTGCAAACTAATAATTTTTCCTTACCAGGGATAGAATTAATCCATATTAGGCGCCTCGTATTTGGTTTCACATTCTGAAGTAGTTCAAATCAAAGAATTCAAATCATGGAAATTGAAGAACAAAACATTCCTGAGAACATTTTTAGGATTCATTCACACTGCATTATGTAAGCAAATATGTTCTTGGTTTCACTCATCAATTCTTCCCCTTCTGGAATTTTGAAGTCCCCCCCTCTAGAGAAGATACCTCATTCACAACCTGACCTAATATAACTTGTTCTTAGAAGAAAAAATCATTGTAAAGTAGCATTCAGATTTTTTTTTAAATAGCAACTTTTGCATCTAGAAACCTTCCAAGCAGATTGCAGTTTCAATTTTGTGGAAGAGTGAAGAAATATGAGACTGGATTGCATTTCCTGTCATTGGGATCTCGTGTGATTCATAAGTGGCGAATGAGCAGCACAGTCAGTCTTGTGACTGATGTACTGGGACTTAAACCATGACATGACCTTTGCCTGAACACAGGCACAAAGGGTTAATGTTTGTAGATTACTTATGTTATCTTATATACTCTACTTTGTGATATCTCCAATGTAAAAATAAATTTGTTACTCTACATATAGTTGTTTTGGTTGCAATTGTTACAACATGCAAGTAAAATGTTTAAGATATATTTTACAAAATATCAGTAGTTCACATTCCACAATGACTGGATGTACCAAAAATCACATTTACATTCATAAACATTTGACATTTAATTAAAAATTAATTACTATCTATGAGAAATCTCTACCTTGTAAGGTAAGATGAACTAAAAAAACATTGACATTGATAGAAACTTTCAACAATATGTCTGTATTCCCTATGATGCTCCAAAATAAATTATGATTCTTAGACATTTGTATTGTTAATTAGTTTCTATGTTTCAATCTACAATTATTGTCAACAGACATTTGAAGACATCTACTGTCAAACTTTACCTGGAAGCTATAATGTATTGAAGTATTTATCTTCAACTTATGAACACACATAATGGTGCCATTTTGATTCCTTGGTACAAATACTACATATCTACTGGAATGGAATCTCTATAATTATAGTTTGTTTTATCCATGCATTCATGCAAATGAAGGATTGGTAGGGTTTATATATATCTAGACGGTTTTGTAATACATATAACTTATTATACTTATAAAAATACAGTACATAGTTTGACATATAGTACATTACAGTGTTGCACTGCAAGGGAAGAAAAGGAAGGATATGGAAACAAAGGAGAATGGTGGGAACACAATCATCACAACTTGCAAACAAGGGGGATACAGGAGGTATGAAGACACTGTGAAATTCATAGCCATAATATCACATGATTTTCTTCTTGTATGCTTTTCTGTAGAAGTCGGAGAACAGATACAGGAAGATCATCACATTGCCCACAAAGAAGAAGGTAAGTGCTTTCGGGAACCGGCAGTCCATCACCAACAACACCACCAAATATGTCAGCATAAGGCAGAACTGGATCTGAAAAAAGTTTAAATTTTGATTTAGTATTTTTAAACTGATCTTCGGATTGTAGAAGTTTACACAAGGAGGTTATAGTTCCCATAAAATTTAGAATGAGACCTCCCTTGCCAAACATAATAAACATTTTATTTCTCTAAATATGATCAATCCTTAATTTTTCCTCTTTGTATCCCAAAAATTTGAGAAAGAAACTCTATAAACCATCCAACAATCGCGTAAATGGTTCAACATTAAACAACATCATGTTCCTTAATAATTGTATCATTAAAATTATAACTTAATTATCCTGTAAGTGTGTTTCATTAATTTACAAGTACAACACTGTATCATATGTAAATAAATGCATTAATAGAAATGAAGGCTTGGAAATGTAGTTGGTACTCTTTGTTTTAGGCTGCCCATGCCTATGATTTGGAAGAAAGCTGAAGTTTATGTAGCTTTTATTTGGTTGTGAATAAATTATAGAAATTTTTTAATTAAATTAACTTTTCTAAAATAAAAACCTAGACCGAATTTTGAAAACCTCGAGTTACTAAAATATATTTTCTTGTAATATAAAATTAAGTTTCATATCTTACTATTCTAAATACTAAATTCTCCATTTTAAAAGAATTTGAAGAATAGGGTGTAACAACAGAAGTTAGATAGGTTCCCAAAATTTCCATGCATTACAGGCAATAGTTTGTCAATATTATAATATTTATGATAAACTGGCTTGAGAGCAAGAAATACATGATCTCTCTTGTTAAAAAGCTTATTGCAGTATAGAATATTTTGGGCAAGTAGTTTTATGATTTTTTAAAGGGACAAAGTGATCTAGAGCACAAATATATTCAATTTTTCATGTTGCAACACTATGTGCAATGACCTACAATTCAGTTCAAGATAAGAGAAAATTGACAGGAGACACTACAATATGTATTCTGTGATCCTGTTAGAGAAAATGAGAAATAACCAATACTTTATAGATCAAAATTCAAAGGTTTGCCAATTTAGATTTTTTTTCCACAACACCTTGTTATGTTTACTCCCCTCCCCCTTCTATAGAGATGGTTTTACTACATAACTTCCTTACATTGCCTAATAGTTAGTAAACTAAAAGTAATTTCACTAAAAAATCAGTGAAATTTTTACATCTTTTAATTTGGTTTTCCAAATTTCAACATTATATATAATTTTAAATAATTTTAATATTAAATTAGAGTTGAAAGTTAATAATCTAATCATTATTATAAAAATGTGACTTCCTTTCCAATTTTTGAGATTTTTTAAGGAATATGATTACTAACATTTTCAAACATTGTGACCACTATTATAACACTATTATACCGTTATTGCAAATTATCAGTATTCTTAAAACTTCAGTTTTAATTCGTGATTAATTCAGTTTTTCACTTTTCAGTGAAATTCTCACTTAAATCTGATTACAGATGGCTTCAATTTTCTGTTTACTGCTTTTAAAGAGTAAGTAAAGAAGTGTTAAAATCTTGCTACTATATCCAGAGCCCACAATCCTGTCAGTATTACTGAGTTGAAAGTATATGCACAAAAAAACATTTTACATTTGATTTTTCAAAAAAAATTAATGCCTAATTTACCACAGCCCATGCACTATTTGAAAAGAGAATTGAGAGATATCCTTTTCAAACTTTTAACTAGTGACTATCATTTTACCTCAATTTAAAATGAAATTAACCTTCTTTCCTAAATATAAAATATTTCAAATCATTTCATTGTCTAGGTCGCCTGCTTACTGTTTTTTTTTAATTTATCATTAAATAATTGTTATATGGAGAGTTATAAGATTATTTTGCAAAAAAGTTGGGTACATATTTTTTTAAAATATGTTTCTATTATTTTTGTTATAGTGCACTATGCTTTTCGCATTACTTCTATTGTAATTTTATCTAACATGACCCTTTTATCTTCAAAATTTTGAAATTCCACTCTCACTATTGGTTAATTCACTTTTGGATTTTGTTTTCTGGGCAATCCATTTAAGAGAAATTCAGAATTATTGCTGCTTTAATTTCTGTGTTGTTAACTTTCTCAGTCTATCTTTTAGAGTTGAAATTTAGTGCAATAAAATCTATAATATTCTTTGTAGTACGGAATAGAAGAGGTCACTATTTAAAGTAGAATAAAAAAGTATATAATTGGGCTTACCAGTTGAATCCATGTCATGTACTTTTTCCACCATAAGTATTTTTGGAACCTTGGACCCATCGCCGCAAGCATATAGTAAAAGTACATGACGACATGAACCAAAGAGTTTAAACAACCAATAATAACTCCTTGTTCACCTGCAACAATATTAAATTTCTGATAAGACAAATTTACATTAATTATTTTTTTATCTTAAAAATTTCTTACATATGTGTTTTCTGTGCATACAGTTATCTACATACATACATACATGCATAGAATCTCATTCAATCTTTATTTTCCTGATAATTTTTAAATTTTAATTACTATATTGAAATCAGTGATTGTTCAGAAATTATAGTGAGTGTTTAAGTATACACTATTCTGGGTAGATTTTAGGCTTTCATTTTAAGCACCTAAAGTAGGATTAAAAGCAAAAATAGATGTTATTTTTAACAGAGGTGGTATAAATTAAGATAAAACATCTTTTTAGAATATATTTTCTTTTTCTTCAAACTACTGTATTCGCAATTTTGTTGGCATTATTACTTAAATTCTACATAAAACTTGGAAGCAATGAGAAGCACACTGTCTTCTTGCAGTTACTACATTTTTCTGAAGTTTAATGAAAGCAATGCTTGTATATACATTTGGAACATGGTTGATGAAAATGACACTTGTGTATTAAAAAACTATCAATTTGATTATTCATTGTTGTATGAGAGAATTTTTGTTGCTTTTAAAAGTATTTTTAAATAAACAGAAAAATTATTTTATGTTGCTTTGTAAACAAAATGAAAAAAATAAATTTATCTTTTCTGAGAAAGAGAAAGTTACAAAGTTATAATTATGTATGAAGTATTCAACTTTGTTGTTTTGTATTACAGTTCCCAAATACATCATTATACCATATCAATAGAAACAATCCAACAATGAAATAGATTCCATAATATTGTTTAATATTTGGTAAGCTCAATTCTGAAATTTACCTTGAATTACTAAAACTATTTTCTTATCAAAAGTGGTTCCCCAACACCGCTTTTGAATAGAAAATAATCAGCTTCATACATTATACTAAACACATGTTCCAGAGAGATCTGATCTCTTTGTTAGCCATTGATTAATTTTGTTGTTTGTTTTATATTTTTGGATACTGTTGAGTTAGGTGCAAATAGAAAATATGCTATGTACATTAATTTGCAAATTTTATTTCTTCAATAGATGAAAACATTCTAAAGGAAACATATGAGTAAGATTTTCATTCCTGAATATCAGATGTCAATTTAGCCATGATCACCATGGTTTTGTACTCTCCTGGCCAGGGAGTACACATGATGTGAGTTGGTTCAAACCTTCATCTAAAATCATGCTTAGCTGCTATATGTCTGTGGTTAAGATGGAGGGATAGGCCAATGTAAAGCAAACAGTGATTGGTTCACTCCAAAGTTGGCAGGGAATAAGCAGCTAAGTTCTAAAAATTTTGCTACTTCTTATAGAAAATAAATTCTCATATAACTACCGTTTATGGGTTGAAGAAAAATATCTGAGTACATAACAATATGCAAAAATGTGTAAGTATTAGCTCTCCTAAATCCTCTAATTAGTAATTTCTCCTATTAATATTCATTTATTGAAGAATGACCACCGCAAAAAAATTTCAAACCTGTAAGCAAAAATATTTTCTGTGGAAGTTCAGTCTCCCCAAGAAGAATATTGTATAATTTTGAAACTGTAATAAACCAAAAGAAAATAATGCTTGCTGGGGGCAGATCCAGGAATCATATCAGGGGGCTCATTTTTTATTTGCAACATCACCTACCACAACCTGTGTTTGGAATGATATATTTTCTGTACCAAAAAATTGTCTGTACCAAAAAAATGAATATTCATAATGGGAATTCTCCATTGGATCTCATGCAATAAATATGTGTTAATTGTTTTCAGTGAGAAGAGGAAAAAAATTGCTTTGTACCCCTTGGTCCCCTCTTTGACCCACCATTGATGATGGGATAGAGCCTAAACAAGTAGTTTGGAAGTTCCTCGGAACACAGATGGCCCAAAATACACAATATAATTGAAAGTATATTGAGAAAATTTTCAGAACTGGAAAATAAATTTCAGGTACATTTTTTATATTCATTAGAATTTTTCCCTGAAAGTTGTGGATCAATTAGTGAAGGAAAAGTAAATGAAAATCTTAAAGGTACCAAGATATTTGCAAAATGAAAAAGCAATACTAGGGTTATTTGGATGTGAATTTTTAAAATATAAAAAAATAAAATTAATTTTTTATATGCAATTAGCTTTATCTCTAACTGCAGGTTGGTAGTAGATGCAATGCTATTTCATGGACTGAGATTGCCATTTATATTTAATATTGCACAAAAATTCGAAGTATTATAAAATCCATTTTCATAAAGTAATAAACCAAGAGACATAAACAACTGTTTGATATAACTTGCAAGACAATATTACTTTTCGTCAATTAATGGGAAGCAAATGAAATTGTAGAGAAATTAAATCATGCTCTCCTATACAATACAAGTTTTTTGTGTTACAACAGTATTCAGAAATGCAATGTTATATAGGGAGATAATCGCTTTACCCTCCATCAAAAAATCACAGAGGAGGAAGAGGGTCTAGAGGAAGACATTCACATGAACGTTTACCTACAAGAGTTGACAAAATAAAAACCTTTAGATTCTTAGGGAGAAGTGCTGCACTACAACGAACATGACAATTACAATATAAAATATAAAGTAATATATAATGCAAATATAAAGCAAAATGTAAAGTAGATACAAATTGTTCTAAGCATTTCTCACACCGACTAAGAAATAATCTCAGCCCTTCTGGTTTGTATTCTGTGGCTTTTTATCACCAAGCTACATAGATGTGTGCACTTGAGGTGCCAGGGATCTTTTGGCCCCTGAAAAGTTTGAAAGAGACTCTATAGCCTTAAGTAATAAAACACTTCATTTAAATAAATTTGTTAAGTCTATGATAAAAATGATTCGTAGAACTTAGAGCTACATTTCAAAATTTACAGTAATAACAATCGGAATGAATGTCTATCTGATAAACATGTATCTGTAATACATTGTTACTGAATCTATTTTTCAGCTTGTATTAGAGGCCTCATTGCCAAGGGATTTTAATTTGAAATATTTCACCTTTTTATTTAGTTGTTAAAGTAAACACTTGTGCTGTCATAAATTTGTTGAGTGCTCTTTCTCATTAATTAAAATTAATTTATATTTAATGAACAAATTCTTGGCAAAAACATGAAGGAAAGTTTGAATTTACTTTTGAAAGGGCTCAATGGCCCATATAAAACCCTAAAAATGAATCAAAAATCCAAAATGGGCCAAACAGTTTAAAATATGAAATATATACAAAATGACCGTGAAAAAATGTGGCCAAGTTGAAGTTGAGCCCTCCTACAACCACCCAAAAAATTCAAAAGTTTTACAAATAGTACATAAAGTTGTTGTTCAAGTAAAATATTACAAGCACATAAAAAAAGCTTAACAACCCTGTGACCAGATTCAAAAATCAATTTTTAAAACAATATCATTGGTGCTTTCAGACTAATTTAGCAAGAATATCCAGCAATTAACTTGCATTGAGACATTTGATAGGGTTCTCAACCACTTTCTGTGTGAAGCTGCTTTCTCAATTGAAGTTTATTTGAAAACTAAGCCCAGAAAGAAATTGAATGAAGAAAAAGCCCAGAAAGAAATTGAATGACTTGAGGCTGAAGCAGTTTAGTTTTAATCCATGAAGGACAATCAAAAAGGTTGCAGCTGCTAAAATTAGTAAAATCTATATTTGTAAATGGATCATCAGCTTGATGGTGGGGAGTGGGGGGATGGTTGAAGCCACATGAGGCTCCCCCTTCTTGTATGTGCCTCTGCCCATCTTTGCCAACAATCCACTATTCTTCAACTGATACAATATTACAGATTAGTGCCTATGAAACAATGGAGGACATGGTTCCTTTAGATATTTCATTTGCGCTTTCTTTTATACATTGTTAGTTTAAAATAATATTTGTTGGAGGAGAGTGGAAAGATTTAATTTGGCTCCTATCCTCACCTCAAGGAACATTCTTTTATTAACTAAGTATTGTAATGTTTACTATCTTGTACCATCAGTCACTAGTACTTCTCTTTGAGATTTTTTTTACATTCGGATTAGATTTTACATTTAGAATAACTGGTGTTTTCATCTTGAATATTAGGTGTGGTGTGTTAGTTAGTTATGTTTGCAATTGTTATTTTCTTCATTCTTTTAAAATTGTAAATATATTTTTTTGGATTCTTTATTCTTTAATGAATTTTATAAATATCATTTTCATTAGCACCTGATGAGGAAGATAGAATAAGTCTCCAAAACATCGTCTAATTTCTCTATTTAGGGATTTAAAAAAAATTTCATTTAAATAAAATTATGAAATAATTTTGATATATTTAATTATGGTTGCCCAAATTTAAAAAGGCATTTTGTTTCGAGGGCGAGGGCTGATAATTCGTTCAAAACCATCATCTTAGCATGGAATGTGTAGGGGAAAACAATCAGTATATAATAATTGTGTTTTTTTATGGCAAGCGATTTTGTATAGTAATTTTTTTACAGCCACTTGTAAAAGTAGTTCTTTCGTGCAAAGCTTTATTTAAGGAAGGCTTTGTTTCAGTGCATGTGTAGCGTGCTAGAACTTCAATTTTTAGCGCTAGCGCTAGTAATAATACTCCGTGCTAGTGCTAAAAGGGAGACGATGCTCAAGTGTTCAGTTCAAACCGTGAATGCAACAGAGAAAACAAACTACGCACGTCTGATCGCGTCAGTTACTACCATGGCTACTGCTGACATGGACATAACGTAACACTGTACACATGAAATTATTATTGATATTATTGATTTTTATTAATCAAAGTGTATTGAAGGATTTGAGTGAATTGTGTGTGTGTGTCATTGAGAATTATGTTAGTGCAAGTATAGAAGTCACTGCAATTTTATTCTTCTGCTTGCTTATCAACAAACTTGTGATAAAACGAAATACAAACCTGGCAAGAACTTGAGGTAGCCCCAGGAGAAGAGCGCCGTAATTGTGTGATGATATACATGAAGGAATGTCACTTGGTTCTGCTTCTTTCTCAATACAAAGAACACCTAGAAAAGGTAAGAAAAAATATTGTTATTAACAATAAATTATTAGTATTAGTAACTTTAGTTCACGATATTGAAACTAGTCATATCCTTTGGTTACAATCTATTAACTTGTTCTCAAAACACAATTTAGGTGATCCTTGTTAATGAGATAATTTTGTGATTTTTTTTCTAACCGAAGTTAATTTACTGAATCTCTTTTTCCGAGAAAAGTAAGACTTGATAACCTTACAATTACATTTTCTGCATGTATTTTGAAATGTCGATCGTTATTTACAGGAGTATGATGTATTCCAGTTAGCAAATGAGTACTGTTCTATCATAGCGCTGTCCGAATTTCTTAAAAAAATATTTTCTTCCTGTGACTTTGTCTCTCGGAGTTACAAGTTATGTAAAATGAATTTATTTTGATTTGTCCTCAGGCGAATGTGGGGCTCAATGCAACCTTTTACTATTTTTGATATTTCATAATTATAACTTGACTGTCAAAGAGTGATTTGATCGTTTAGGAGCGAAAGGAGGATGTTCTTAATTCGAAGCTATGTTAGTTTTCTTTTGTTATTCTTATGCGGAGAAACAAACGAACATTCTCATTCACAAAGAAAAAGAGCGATCTTCAATTAATCACTGCATGCAATCATTCAGCATATGAACTACGACATTGTCGGGTACGGGCACGGCCGGATTTACCTACAAGCGAAATAAGCAGTGGCTTAGGAAGTTTCACCGATGACGGGCCTGCACCCCGGAAAAAATATTATATTCTTTAATGTCGCAAATGTCAAAAAAATATATGTAGCATTGCGTCAGAGATAGTCATAAGCCTCAAAATCACTTCTTTACAGGAGAACATTTTGAAACTGTGTATCGAACATATTTCTAACCTCCACAATGATGAAGAGAAGAACATTGGCTTATAACTTAATTTGCAGCTGGATCAACATCAAGAATTCCGCGACATCTGCTGCAAATCAACTCTACCAATAAGAAAAGTGAAAACCGCCAAGAGTGTGGCTTATGACTATCTTTGACACAACCCCTCATATGTTCAATTCTCTAAGCAATTAACACATTTTCATTAGTAGATGTATACAAAATGTACCCTTTTAGTAAATCTAGAGATTTTTTCCCGATGGGTGCTTCAAAAGAATTTTGTGTTTGCTATTTTATGCTCTTTTTCGGAATTTCCGGATGGGAGACCCGCAGTTCCTAAATCCGGACCTGCTCAAGGGCATTGAGATGTATGCGCTCGTCTGCTGTTTCGCGAGTAAGTGCGAGGTGTCTTCCCGAAGGGTGTTTCGCGTTAACCCGTATCATTTTGCAAATTTCGACGCTCTTGTCGTCCTTGTTCCTTCGGTCTGTTCCTGAGCGTCAGTTGTTTCAACGCGCGTTTACAACAAACACGTTAGTCGTTTGCGAACGGAAATGGTTTTATGAATGGAGGAAGGGAGCGGTAAAAGATACTCCTTATGCTAATGTTTGCAAGAGGCCCACACAGGAGGTGTTTCTTTCTCTCACACTTCCCTGAATACAAATTTTAACGATGTATTTGGTTAGGAGTTGACGTGTGTTTTCTCGCGAGTATTAAAGTGTGTGTTAATTGTCAAAAAGAAGCCCAGGTTACTAATATTGTATTACGAATTCAAGCCAGTATGTTGGCTTTCCCTAAGTTTCTCTACAAACATTGAATTGAATATTTTTTTATTTACATTTTCTCAGATGTCAGAGTTGTAAAATGAAAGGGGTGCGGTATAAAGTGAATATTCCTGAACTGAAGCGACAACTGCCCCCTTGCAGAGTGATCACTTTACCCCGGAAATTTTGAGAATTAATTTTTCACACCCATTCTTTCTTCTTATGTATTCCGTTGAAATAAGAGGTTAAACATTAATGAGGTCGAATACGAATATATAACCAAAGCTACATTCTGCAAACATACAATTTATTTAATCATAATTACTTCTTTTCTTTGCAAACAAATTGAGTTGAAAACAGTCCTTGCTCCCTTCTTCTACGTGATGCATGCTTATTTAAAGTAACTAGTGTTCCTTTGTGTTTTGCCATTACATACCTTATAGCACTTATGTTTGTATTCATTTGAATCAGGGAAAAACATCAAGTAATGATGCACTAAGTAAATTAAACTATTTTACGTTTCAAAGTATTTTGATTTTTTTTAAATCTCTCATACTTGGACAGATTAGCCCTTCGGCAAACCACGTCTGTTACTGTCTGCCTATTAAAGAAAATATCCCATAAACGTAAGCATCCTCTCTCACCTTGATTGACTGATTGAATGGTTAATTCTTTTTGTTGATTGATTATTTCATATTTCCGGGTGCGTCAACTGCTACGGCCATTAGTCCCACAAGAGTAGTGCATTTTTATCACCGTTGGTGGCGATGTTCCTTTCGCCAGTGAATGGTGAGATTGGGCACCGACCTATAGGTCGGCTTGAAGGATTTTCCGTATTCAGGTATCGCTCATCAGCGTGTCACCTCCCCACCAAGTCGTGTTCTAAGCGCTCGACTGGTCTCCTGACACGTGTGGTAGTATATTGCGTGTAAGTGTGTATGTAAGTGAGAGGTGATAAAATAAAGTGGAAGAAAAGAGATCGCGCGCGGTCAGGTGTTCGATTCATGGAGTTCTGCTCCGGCATTCGCATGGGCGATTAGAGAAACCAAAAAAAAAAAATCGATCGATTGAAAAATCGATCTATCTGAGCAGCTGGACGCTGTAGAATTCTCCTCCAGGCAGCGGCTGAACTCGATATAGCTATCTGGCCAATGTCAAAAATCTTTCCTCCGACGGGTCACTCATCCTAGGACCTCCCGGTCAGAGGCACAGTAGTTACATCAGTTGATGTCCTGAGCCACCCAGGCTGGCCTTATCACGTGGAAAGTAGTCTCCCTCCTAATGAACGAAATTGGACTAGCATTCAGGGCCGCAGCAAAAAATGAGGGATATGATTGAGAAAAGTGAAACAAGTAAACAAAAGATTACTATCGTCTGCTGCGTCAAAGGCAAAGCAAATCGGTTTGTTCGGCTTTGTAGATATTGGAAAGTTTGTGAGTTTACGGCTATTGACAAATAAGTTCTTTTCGGGGAGAAATTGAACAAATGGATTCACCCTCCCTGACCTCAAATTGGGACAAATGTGTCTCAGCTTCAACCAAGGTCTAGCACATTTTGTGACGAAGTGGCCGCAGCAATATACTACTCGCACTACTACATTGGAAACTAATATAAACATAATATATTTGGAAATTAACAAGTAATTTTATATTGATGTGAAATAGGATTCAAAAAGAAATTTAACAATAATCAGGTCTTTTGAAAAACCTGCAATTTTTGTGAAGTGACGTTTCCAAAACAGTGGCGTAGATACGAGTGTGCAATCGAATGCCAAAGCATGGTTGCACATTTTTGTAGACTTCCAGAAAAGTTTTAACTGGATTTGTTAAGAATATGAATAAATATATCTGATGACGCTAGATACTCATGCGATAAGGTGCTAAAAGAAGACACTAGAGAAGCATTCTAACAAGTAACGTTATGCATCTTGTGTACGTGGTATACCACAGTACAGCAGCGCACCTACTTAAGGTTTACAGGAAGAACCCATTAGAAGCAAATGAGGAATGCTTACCGTGTCGAGGAGTTCGATGATCTTGGAGAAGAAATACCACCAGGCGCCCGCGGAGACCTGTGGACAAAAGCCCTGCGTCAGCGCTGATGACTCGCCCAGCCACGCGAGCGAGTCTCGTGCCTCACGCGTTTGCCCGGGGTGACAGGGTATTTAGGCGAGCGCATTGCATCCCGTCCCATTCCTCTTCGTCTCGCCTGCGCCCCGCTCCCCCCACCCGTTTACTCAATTCTCAATGGCATCGCTTCACTTGCCAGGGCTCCGTCCCTCCGCCCACTCCACCACGCCCCGTCCGCACCGCCAACCCAGCCTCAGTCGTCCCGCCCAACCGCCGCCCGCCCCGCCCGCCCCGTCCCGCTCCGTCCGCCGCCGTCCCGCCCCGTCCCGCCCGTCGCCGCCCCGTCCCACTCCGTCCCGCCCCGTCCCACTCCCGTCCCGCCCCGTCGCCACTCCGTCCCGCCCCGTCCACTCCTCCGCCCCGTCCCACCGTCCCGCCCCACCGTGACCCGCCCGCCCCGCCTCGCTCCGCCCCGCTCCGCCCGCTCCGCCCCGCTCCGCCTCGCTCCGCCCCGCTCCGCGCCGCATTCCGGTCCCGTCCCGTCCGTCCCGTCCCGTCCCGCCTTGCCCCGCCCCGCCCCGCCCCATCCCGTCTCGTCTCGCGCGCCCGTGCGTGTCTCGCCCCGCTCTGCTTGTTTCATCTCGTCTCAACCCGCCCCGCCTCACCTGTCCCACCCCACCCCCGCCGCGCCATCCCGCTACACCCCACCCCCCCACCCCACTCTGCCTGACCCACCCCGCCCCGCCCACCCCATCCCATCCTGCCCTGCGCTCTGCATCACGCCCTCGTCGCTCCATCTCATCTCTCCCCACCTCTCCCCACCCGCATCATCATCATCATCATATCATCCACACGACCTCTCCTCGCTCCCTCACCTCGTCATTACTACCAAAGTGCGATTTTATTTAGCTCGTGCACTTGACGTAAATCAACTGTTGCGGCTTCATCCAATCGGGAGCCTAATGTCGCTGACGTTACTACGGGATAAGTTCAAGCTCCCAATTGGATGGAACCAGTGAACACAGCTGATTAACGTCAAGTGCACGGGTCAATAAATCCTAGCATACTTCCCGCTTCCACTCTCCCGACGTGGCTCTCTGTCCGCCTCGCCTCCTGCCACTGTGGCCAATCGCCCCCTTACCACCCGCTCCCCCCCTCCCCCCCCGCCGCGTCGGCGGCGGCACGCGCGCGTCTCGCACCGTTCAAACACCGCCGGGCCTAAATGGCTACGTCACATCTTGCATCGTCCCCGCCACCACCGCACCCACCCCGCATCGCATCGCATCGCATCGCATCGCATCCCACCGCACGACGCACGACGCCGCGCCGCGAGCACGCCCCGAAATCTCCAACCACGCATTTTGCGCAACTCGGAAGCAAAGTCCGCAAAGGCGCTCCTGCCTACTTGCAATATTTTGAAGTGCCCTGTTGGGTAAAAATGTCGTTGAATCATTGACATGGCAGGTAGGTTCATAGTCAATTTCAGATATTGAACTTTTCGTGTTAATCTTTTCTCGTGTTTAAGTTGGCATTCGAAATCGATTTGCTCTATCGTTTTGTGAGGCGTTTCATTGTCTAATTGACGTACGTTTGAATTAAAAAAGTTGTTTTGGATGCGGTAGTTCTCCTTTCTATTGAGAAGTTTTGTAAGCAACGTGATTCAGTCTCCAAATTTCTCTCGGTCGGCCTCTGCAACGTTTCTCATGGTATATGTTTTACATCTGAACTGGCATCTGCATTACCCAGTCTTATTAATTATCAAGTGTAGTTTTGTATAATAAATGCTTTCTTGAATTTGCAAGACATCTCAGAAGAAATGCTCCATTACAGTTGTGTTTTCGAGGACACCCTACATTAGTTCAAATGACGAAGGAGGTCAAGAAGACATCTGTCTGTTGCGAATGTAGCAACTTTGTCCACCATCCCGGCCATGCTTTCAAAGAGTGCTGTTTCATAAAATACATTCCATTTTTTAAGGAACGCTAACTCACTCTGTAAATGATCAAAAATGCGAAATTGGATATTTGAATTCTTAGCTCAGTTTCTACAAAACGTGGCGGTCATAATTATCATATTAAAAAACACTGCAAATTCACAGAATAAAAATTGTGTGAAAATATTTGAATATAGTTGCATTTTCCGTCGTGTATGATATAGAAAAGAGGATAACAAAGTCATGCTGAAACATGACTTACCTCGTCCGCGAACGGGTTGCGCTGTTTCGGAGGTTGGCAGCCGTGCGTAAAGAGGAACTGCACCGCGCCCGCTCGAAATGGCTGTGAAGAAGAAAAAGAAATATGATAATTGGTTCATTTTGAGCAAAAAAGTACAATGACAAGTTGACGCTTTCGCACTTAAACGAATACTTTTAACGTACTGCTCCAGGCGGAGGAGGAGGTTGTTGAGTCGCTTTCTTTTTTATTCATCTAAAATCGTCGCAAACGTAACCCGATGTAAATTGTTTAAAATATTTCTTTTTTTGAAACTCTTGTTTCGAACATATTATATACACCTTTATTATTTAAGCCAGATATATATCTGTTAATGTAAATGATTTGTCGGTGTTAGAACATTAAATGAATTCATGTACATTAAAAAATGTTAAGTCTTTTAAATTAAATTTGTATACACGTCACATGACAAGTCACATGACAAAGATTAATTTCTGAAGTCGTCATAAAATACAACATATCTGTGGCATCATTGCATATGCACCAAATTATTCACGAACCCAGTTGTGTAAGAGGATTTGGAAATAATACTGTTTAAATATAAATAAATAATACTGTTTACCTATCAATATTTTCTTCTGCTTCACGAACTTCTCAGCGCAATAGCACTGGGAAAGGAAACTATCTGTAATAACCCCGCCATTTTCAAATCGGGTAGTGGAATCGTATGTAAAAAGAATATGCCCAGAAAAATAAAAATGAAAATATCAATAGAAAATAACAACAAACGTTCTTAGATTTATTTTTCTAACTCCCACCCAACCGTATTTTATGTGTGAAGCGTAAAAGCATTCAGGGCGGCTTTGACTTCTTATTGCTCTCTTGTGGCGAGGTGATCAACTGCGTGAAGGGGTGATTTCGCCGTTCTACGAACTACAGCTGGTGGCATTGACCTCGACATCACTGATCTAGGCTATCCGGGGCGAGCAGCGTCTCTGTAATTGTTCGCTGACGTTTCATCAACATATTGTGGTCTTCCTCAGAGCGTACTGCCAGTTTGTTAATCTTGATTATTATTGGATTTTAGCAATAACCTTGAAAGATATGAAGAAAAACAATATAATTGTGAGAACTGTAGTACATTTGTATTTTATTCATGTTTGAACTTTGTAGATACGATTTTGTTTTGATTTTTTTTTTGAGATTGTGTATCAGCATTGTTTAATGTATGCCAAATTGATGCTTAGTCTGTTAAAAATGGTAGGTTTTGGATGAGTTATATAACTAAGTAATTTTTAGATGGTATTTATAGAGGTGTACGTTTAAAAAAAGTTTGCGTAGCAGGCTAATTGGGCTAAAGCAACTCCTGTATTTTCTCTTATGGGATATTTTTATTTTAAATTATTTGAATTATTCTCATGAGTAGTACTTTCGTGAGTAGTTCCTAATTTGTACGGTGATTGCCTTTCAGAACGCGTTAATAGTGATTTCGTTATGGTTCGCGAAAATTGTTATAAAGATTAGATGTTAGTAGTTTATAATTGGAGGAGTAATGTGTGACAATTATGATTCTATAAAGCAAACTATTTTGATTGGAAGCAAGTTGGTGAAAATTAATAATTTTGGTTGAAAGCAAAGGAGCGTGAATGCTAACAACGTTTGTTTTGGAAACTGATAGTACTAGGAAAATTGTTTCATACTTCATCTTGTACCAGTCCTGGTTTTAAGTAAGTTAATTCAAATACAGGTGCATTATGAAAGGGGTATCATTCTTTAGCTATGAGAAAGTATCTGAATCAACCGAGAATATTGTTATATACCGCTAAAACATATTTGCATGTCTGATATCGAAAAGAAGTCATGAACTCATATATTATATGCCTGTCCTTTATGCATTCAAAATTGGAAATTACTTGTCGAATATTCAATGGTGATGATTGTGAGTGTGTGTGTATGTATATATATATATATATATATATATATATATATATATATATATATAGTATGAAGTGTGTGGAAAACAACCCGGTGTAACATAATTAATTTTATTCTTTTTTAAAAAGTATTCCTTGGCTTGTAATTCAAGTTGTTACTGGACCCAATGAGATTGGTCTAATAATGTTCTTATTAACCTTTGGAAGTGTCCATTGTTTTACGGCTGGCATGTTTCGACTGATTTTTTTGTGGAAATGGGTTAGATAATGATTTGTTAATAAGATTTTTGTATGAGTACAGAATGACATTGAATAGGGAAGTTGATAGAAAGCTGGAGCGTCTTTATAGTTACTGGTCTAATCCTCAATTTGGAGACAGAGAGCAGAGCAGAGAGAGAGAGAGAGAGAGAGAGAGAGGGAGACAGAGAGAGAGGGGAAGACAGAGAGAGAGGGGAAGACAGAGAGAGAGGGGAAGACAGAGAGAGAGGGGGAGACAGAGAGAGAGGGAGAGACAGAGAGAGAGAGAGGGAGACAGAGAGAGAGGGAGAGACGGACTTATTTTGATTTGGTTCCACAGAATATGTGCATTTTGAATTGAAGCGGAAATCTCTGAGGAAGGCCGAAACGTCGGCCACCTCGACGGGGACGTGGCTCGCGACGAATAGCCTAGATAATAATTACAAACACCGGCTGAGAAAACCTACGCAATCGTAAAGGGTAGGTAATAGCATGCAAATATGAGAAGAATAGTCGTGCCTTCGGATTACTATTGGAAAACAAATGGAGTCTATAAGGTTCGTAATGCCATAGCAAACAATACTTAAGGGAGTATAGCAGAAGACATTAAATTAAAACTGTGCGATGCAGTTTTACATATCAACTCATCGTAATACACTGTCATAAAATTTACTGTGATAGAGATTGAGCACAGCATCTCTCCAACTTCACATTCACGCTACGCATTAAGCACACACACTCCACTTGCATACACAAGAATATTCATTCTAATGACAATGACGTTTTCGGGTTTGCAGTCACGTTTGTGCTTGGGTGAAGGCGATCAAGAATAGTAATATATTCCACTCGTGTATTTTCTAAAGATTTGTTGATACTGCACTAAATTCATATGCAATAAAACATATAACTTTTTTCATCCTTAATCAATATTTGTTTCAAATGTCGAGGGGTTTTACAATAGTTCTTTGGTTCATATCTAAACTAGTTGTTATACAATAGCACATAATTTCTCGTATTTGAAAGTTTTGCAAATTTTCGAAAATTTAGAGCGCCATTTTTATAAACTTACTTCACATTATCCGAGAAATAATGAAAGCAAAACTTTCGAGTCCTTTTTAAGAGAATTTTTTTAAAATTGTCTTAATTTCCCGCAAAAGTACGAAGGAACTACTCGTATTTTCAAACAAAATGTGTACGATCTCGTTTAAACATCTAATTTTGATTAACAGATTTCGTTAAGGAAAAAGTTTTCTTTAATGCTGTAGTTGCAAGAGAACGGTTAACTTACAATACTAATGTTTCTACCGAAAAGTCTTGCTTTTTTCTGCAGCATTACATAACTTTCTCTTTACTACGTAACTAGTACGCGTAGAAGTACAAAAATGTACAAAAACATTTAAAGAAGCATTTTCTTTGCTCTGCATTTTCGAGCCTAAACAAAAAGAATGAGTAGAAAGTAAACGAGAAGAGTAATAATAGCAGTATGTGTACGGGGGTCAGTGAGCCCCCGCTTGTTTCGGTATGGCTTGTCGCAGGAGAGGTGGGGGGGGGTTGCGGCCCCAGCGCCGCAAGCTCTCCTGCACGGTGCGGCGCGGAGACAGTTGTGGGACACGCGCGATGACCGCCTTTCTAAATTCACCATTCCGGAGGGCGCGCCGGCAGCGGCGGCTGCGGCCGTTGCTCAGGAGGTGGAGGACTAGAGGTGGAGGTGAAGGCGGAGACGGCAGCGGTAGATGTAGCGGACGCTGCGGAAGCAACGGTCTAGGTGGCAGGCCGGAGGAGGTGGCGGAGGGCGCAGATGTGGCTGCGGAGATGGCGGCGCTGGTGACGGGTTTTGGCGGAGGAGGCGGTGTCGGGGATAATGACGGTGACGCAAGCGGTGAGAGGTAGCGGACGCATAGGAGGAAAAGGAGAAGGAGGCGGTGGTGTCGATGTCGGTATTGTTCCGATGTTGGTGGCAACGACGGCGGCGGTGGCGATGGAAGGTGAAGGAGTAAAAATGGAGACGGCAGAGGTAACGGTAGTGGTAGCGGATGCCGGCGGACAGCAACGGACTGGGAGGCAAGAACGGAGAGGTGGCGGCGGAGACGGCTGGAGTATGTGGCGGGGGGGGGGGTGACGGCAGCGGATACGGCGGAGGACGCTGAGGGGACGCGGATATGGCGACGGTGGCTCTGCAATAGCGACGGAGGGGGCGCTAGCGGAAGAGTCGGAAGTGACAGACGGAAGCTACGCTGATGACGTGACCCGCGCAAACTCATTTTCCGATGCTACGGTCTCGTGTTCCACGCGCCCTGCGTTCACACGGCTCCTTATTTGCATCGTCTCCGAAAGGCAGCTCACTGCTTCTCGTGATTCCGGATGATTATTCAGGGCAATTAGCGAGATGGTTTAATGATTGCTGGAGCTCGTTCGTACTCGCACGCGCAAACACCGNCACACACACACACACACACACACACACACACGTGTGCCATATGCATACAGACGAGCACATTCTCGCACACTGTCATAGAAGTGTATGCATGCGAGTTTGTAACTTTTTTATTGCCTAGGATACTACCATGAACTGTTATACGAACACCTGAGAATATAAATATAAAAGTGTGTTAGTGGTTTAAGTTGTTCTGTTAGTGTGCACAGAAATGAGGATTTTTTAGTACACTGCTGGCTCGTGCTACAACTGGAGTATTTAGAGTTATGAAATGTAAATTGCGAAAGATCAGTGATCATATGAAGGCGTCTTACCATGCAGGTTATCTGCGAAAATGATAGAAAGGTTTGCGAAGATCTAATGACAAAATTTTTGAAACGTGGGAAGATACTTTGGGGAAGAATTGTATTGGTAATTGAGCACATATAAACTGAGATGTAGGATTTCTTCTTCGGGGTAAAGACGTAGATTTACGGCACCTTTCATTTACACGATAACTAGGAACATCTCCACTTCGTGTAACATTTCTGAATGAAGCAACACAATTTTTAAAACAGTAAGATGCATTTTGATAAGCATTAACAGAGAATTTGGAATGACACGATTATCAAACATTACCTGCAAATCATGTCATTTTGTAAGTGGTACGATGCTCGTTAATTTGACAGGACATCTTATAAATAGGAAAGAAAATTCTAGATTGTTTTAATAATCATTTTAATTGGACCTGAAATATTCGAATGTTAGTAGTGGGGTTGGGCGACCCTTTAAATTTAATTCAGAGCTGATCGTACTTCTCCGTCGAGCATGTGAGATAGCGCGTTGAGTGCATATCTAAGGGCGTCGCGTGCATATCTAAGGGCGTTGCGTGCTATCTATTGTTTCCGTCCACTCTTCGATTATGTGAAAAAATGACTCTCGCCCAAGAAAAGGCAAATTACCTAAAAAATTGGAACACAGAAAAGAGAACATGATAATGTTCAGGATGGAGTGTTCTATCTGCTTAAACAAAACAAAACAAAAAAAAAATAATTTGGGAGGCTTCAATCACGCGTAGATACGAGAAGGGCATTGACTCCGCTATCCTTCTCAAGCTGTATGCGTTTGTACAAACTAATGTCTAATTTCGCTTGAGGGCTATGAGTTTGAGCGTTCATATTTATCCCTTCCCCTTCAACATACTCACACCACACAAACTAAAGACGTAATTTAAATTTCTCTCCTCACGAGAATTATCTAACTTATTATTTCAAAAATGAAAGTACTGATTGTTTTTGTTGAAGTTGAAAATTTAATTCAATGCGAGAAAATTGTGTAATGTATCTATATATAGATGGCTCAGAATAAATGTTTCAAACTTATAGAAAATGAAGAGACGTTAAAAATGATAATAGTTGTCAATGCTAGTGATTAGTTATGCAAATGAACGTCTAGTTAGAAACTGCATATAAGGGAGTTATGCATATGGTAACGTTCTGACTCATTCAAGGAGATTTAATGTATTCTCAGATACCTCTCCCTCTTTATAATTAATATAAAAGCATAAGGGTTTATACTTGGATGAAATTGGACTATATTTTCTCTCCGTTTTAAAAACCCTAAGTAATGGAAATACGTATTCCAGTTTTGTTTTCATTCTCTCGCCGCACATCTGCGCAGCACTCGCTGTTCACGGATTAAAATCCCCGGATATTTTCAATCGCTCTACGTAAGTACGTATGTTGGTATGTTACCTAGTGAACACAACAAATCCGTTTCAAACTTTTTACAATCCATTTTTATCAATATACCTTACATTTTAATTTGTGCACAGATATTAAAGGGTCTAGAGATGCAAATTAAATTATAAATTACAACTGCACAGACGGAGTTAGCGTAATTTTTGTTTTGTTGTAAATTTAGGAGTTGGCTATTAGCGAAGAATACTAAAGTTGTAAAAGCTTCAATGAGAGCACTTACCATAGTGCAGAGCCACGCGCTGAAGATCACTTGGTAGGCGTTATACGCCACTAACACACCCTGCAGGTTCAATGGTTTGCGATCCTTCATTATTGCAGGACCTAGCTTGAGCACGAAGTAGAGGTAGAAGGCTAATATACCCAGCACGGGTATCGGGGAGCTCATGAACAGCCATGAGTCTACTTGAGGGTCTGCAACACACAAACGAACATTTTTAACAGAATTCAATAATTTGTATAAAACCGGCATTTAGCAGGGAAAATGGGAAAAAATTGTTAGTGTGGTTTTAAATGAATGGGTAATATTTATTCTTAACTATATGGGACATCAAATTATTCAATGTATGACTAAAATGTAGTATTTAACATGAATGATGATTTTAATGATGCGTTATTTAGGAAATAACTCATTATTGAAATACACAAAATTCACTTTTTAATATTTTAAAAATCATCATTTCGCTTGACAAAGGACCATTACCATTAAGTTAGATAAATATCATTCTGAGATAATGCGCCAATCTAATGAAATAGAATATTCATTTGATATTTTTGTCTTTCAACTGCTTCAGAAGTAAATTATATACAAACACTTTTTTATTAAATTAAATCTAATTACTCCAAAAAAATCAATTATGGTCCCAAGTATTTCATTTGTGCCAATAATTTGCTCGAACATTCAATGAGATAAGTGATTTTTGCAATGTTGATGTCTCAGTTGTAAAAAAAGCAATACGAACAAGTAATTGCATTGCTATTGGGATATCTTTGAAAAACAAATGCGTAGAAAATAATGAATCTTCTGTCTAGATTTGCAGTGCAAATATGAAGTAATATAAATATCAGCAAAAAACTAATTTCTTTAACAAAAATGATTACGACTTCCGAGATATAAGTGAGACATGTATATTGTCAAATTAGTTTTTTGACAGGTGCGTCAATTTGCATTTGAGTCATAGTAGGTGGATTTCATACGTTAACGTGCACGGACACATCTGAGCTGTAGTATTAGCGAAACACGTCCTTAGGAATCTCTCCCGAACTTGTAACTAACTACTCCTATAATTTGTGCTCGCGAATAGGTTTGTTCTATAAATTGGTGGTTAAATTACGATGGAAAATACGATAGATTGCGATGAAAATGCACGTAAAAGACTCCATAATTCTGAACTCCTGGTAGAATTTCGAACTGTCATTCTAAAATTGATGGTGACTTTCTAAAGAAAACGAAAGAACAAACAAAAAACATTATTCATTAATCAATACCATAATTTATTTTTGAAATATAATCGTGTGAAATCGTGGAAACTAAACGTAGTATCAGATTAAAAGACACTATCAGGTATTGAATTTTATTACTGTAGTCTTGCAGGAACCGTACGCCAAATGAACAAATACTGCAAAGAGACGAGCAGCTCGAGAGAGATTCTTGGGGGCGGCCCGGTGTCGCAGGCAAGGCGCGAGGCAGGGCTTACCTTTGGTGTTCTCGAGGAGCTCGTTGTAGTTGTCGACGACCAGGTGCATGAGGCTGGCCATGGCGCCGGCTGCAACGGGCACACGCGCGCGTCTGAATGAAGCGAATCGCAAGTCGCTTCGCAAGCGCTACTCTCACCCTCTCCCTCCCACCGCCCACCGCCACCCGCCACCCAGCCATCCCTCCCCTGTCGCGGCGCCACGCGCGCGGGCGCGGGCGGGCGGGCGCGCGCGCGTCGGCCTCCTTCTTCCGCGACCGCCCGCCGCCACTCCCTCCCGCGACGGTAGTGGCGAGGATAGAGGCGGCGGGGCGGCGACGGAAGCGGTGATGGGATTCCCGGCGGAGGGGGGTGCGAGCGACGGCAGCGGGCGGCGGGACGCAGCGGCAACGCGGAATCTGTGACGACCGGCGGGGGCGGACCCTGACCGTGAACGTTTATTGCGGGTGAGATTCACTGCCGGGTGGAAACGGCCGGCCCTCTCAGAGGAGGGGAAGGACGAGAGAGAGAGAGGGAGAGGGAGAGAGTAGCTCGCGGGGGTTCGCGTTCCCAGGTACGACCTGGTGGCCCAGCGTTTCGATCGGGAGGATTTTGCAAGGCAGCGTAACACGTTACAGCTTCGCGGAAATCCATCGTTCATGCGGGGGCTTCCGTTGCGGACAAATGGACAGAGGGTGCGTAGGAAAGCGGTTAGGAGATGCACGTCGCGTGGAGGCTGGAAATTAAGATTAAGAATTTAAGGTTGACTGGCATATGCTATGAGATTTTTTCAGACTTTGGGGTCATTCTATTTCTGCAAAAAATTTGAATTTCTTCTCGTACTTACAATGAACATCTTGGATCAAATATCCAATTTCGTCTTCATTTCGAATATTCATTTTCATATTCATCATTACACATTATTCAATTACTTTTTGAAAAATTGTTTTCTGGTTGCGTGAAATTAGTATTGCAAACGATATTAAAGACACCCTTAACTTCCAATTTTTGGTTTTTGTTTTTAGACAGCTTGACCAAATGAGTGAAAAATACGCTTATAAATGAAATGCAAAATTATATTTCCAATAGAATTTGGATTTAAAGATTGAACTTTAATGATGAATAATTAGCTAAAGGCGAGTAACTACTACCGGCGAATATTTTTAGAAGATTGACAACTGACATTTTCTTTCTATTTCTTTAGAAATATATTTTATGGTAGTTCCCTATTTTTTGTCGATAGCAATGAATAGTTTTCGGTACTCTCATACTGCAATCGTACAGTCCACCATCAGTCTATCTTTCCTGATGTAATTGTCGTATTAACTACTGCCAACGAATTAAGACATTCATGTTTATTTCTACTGACGATCGGTTTCATCGGACCCATGCTCCCGTCTTTTAGTTCGTAGAATTGAGGTAGGGGTGAAGTTTAATTATGAAGGACTGTAAATCTTGTGTATCGCTTGCCTTAACATCCTGTAAAAACTACTCATTGTCTTCGATTGTAAAATCAATGCCTTTCTATTCCTACATATTTCAAGGATCGCAAGAGATCACGGACGAAAAAACATACCCTACTTTTTGTGGATAGCTTACATAGAATCGTGGCTGTATTTCGAAAGTAATATTCAATTTTCGATATTAAACTGTCAATGAAGTGGACAGTTTCTTCTTCTTAGGTAATAGATCAAACTTCTCACATTCTAATCTAGATGTAGACAGGCGAGATCTCTCGATCTTAAAATACGCCTGCTGTATTATACTGATATTGTAAGAGAAATGACATTCCGTTTTTTTCTTCGTTTGGAAATTCAATTTGAAAACTTTCTGAGTATTAATACACAGCCACATTTCACTTCAGTGGCTAGGAAATAAAGCTCCAAACCTTAAATAATGCCATTACGAATTAAACTCAAAAAGAAAAACATATTCTATAATCTTGATTCTACTTGACCACCCGAATTTTGTTTCACTGGCCACGCTGACTCATCGAAGTGCTATGCATTTTTTAATTAATTTGAATGTTGAAATGACATCAGTGAAAACAATTATATATTTCGATCTTCGCCCTTGTGCAATCACCTGCATTGATAAGGGTCATATCATCATATAATCATATGCAGAGAGCTCTGTCCTCAAAAAGGGATGGTCGGAAGCCATTCTCAAAAGGCGAGGTTCCTAGTAAGTGAACAAAGCCTGTCAACATCAATGAAAAAATAAAAAATCTTGACTGGTATCACCTTGCCTTTTCATTTAGATTTTTAACCCTGCCTAGTCCTTGAGCCTCCGCTTCCGCAGAATCACAAAACACGAGAGTACCTTTGTGATGTCCAGGCTTGCAGGTATATTTCCGGTTTGATCGAGATTGGTGATGGGAGTAAAAAGCAAAATAATGGGGTAGAAAAAGGTAGAAAAAGGCAAAAAGAAAGCAAAATGGCCATCGTAAGCTAAAATAGGCAAGAAAGGCAAAATTATAGAGTACTAAAACAACTTCAGAAGCATAATTAAGTAATTCCTATTGTTAAAACGTCATAAATTACAATAATTAACTGGCATTTTGCCAAACTTCCAGGCTCTGGTAATGAGAAATTTACTTTTTGATTTTAATCATTACGTACATTCAACAACACAATTTACCACGAGATTCCGAGATCCTGGGATACCAATTAATTTAAGCAAATGTCGTTCCTCCCCCATCATTAGAAATTATTTCCAAACTCATTTAATTTTACTCATGAATACCTACAATAGTTTCAGTATTCTGCATATTGAATACGAAAGCTACTAATAATTGGCCAGCTTATTGTATTTGATCAGGCATTGAACCATAGTTTTAAAAAAGTGATTAAATTCAAAGAACTATATTGTCGACACACATGATTCGCATCTCTCTCTTCATTTTCGTGGAACAGGGAGTGAACGTGGTTTTCCCAAATGGCAGTTTACAACTTTGCCCCAAACTCTTCCAACAGGTTTTTGCAATGCCCCTCCCCTGCTAGTGAAGTTTATTGCAGTTCCATTGAACCAATAGCCATGACAGTGTGGAACTGACTACTGGAATTTCCCTAGGAATAATTCCACTCTGATGGCAGAGATCGGTTGTTTCAGGCTACCGAAATTGATTCATTCACATTCTCTTTTTTTAGTATTGTGAAACTGAATTTAAAGCCTAAGGATTTTCTAACGAACATTTGTCGCAATGAAACTGAATGAAATGTTTCATTCACTTAAATTCATGCATGCCGCACACAGTAGAATCTCGATAATCAGAACGTAGATGAATCGAATTTTTAAAATATATTTTTTTAAATTCCCCCTTCAGCTTCTTAATGGGTTTATATTTGTGCACTTGAATCTCGAAAGGTGGAAATATTGGATGAGACTTTTTTTACTCCTTGTGATATCGTGGTTCGAGATACCGAGGTACCGAAGAGGATTTCGATAAATGAAATTTGTATTCAAGAAAGTTTTGTCATGCCCCAATGTATTCGGCCGGCATCCTTAAAGTAGTCAACTTTAGAAACGTGCCAAGCACAGGCAAGGATCTTTTTCAGAAACCACATGACAGAGGTTCACTGTGCCTCCCACTGCCAAAGCAGTCCGATATTATCGCGTGACGCTTGACACATTATATCGAGACCTACAATTAATGACTGCTGCCGTCTGTCTAAATGGGACCTGCACCGCATGTTATTCGCCGGTGTCTAGAGGTTCACATGATAAATCACAGCAAGCCACTGTTAGTACGTTTATGACTTCTCTTCTATTGAAGAATGTTAGTATTATATATATATATATATATATATATATATATATATATATATATATATATATATATATATATTGCACATTTTAAATTTAACTAATTATAGATTATCATTTTATCATTACTACTATTTTTTTCTTTCAAAAAAGGAAAAATTATCAATAATGTATTTACATACAATGCCGGAGATAGATGACGAATATTCATTTTTGAATAATCACTAACGTTCTAGTTTTTATGATTTTAAATCATTATTCACTCACACCATTGGGTTAAAGAAACCATGCTTCAGAGGTTCTAATTTTGTACCTCTTTATTAAATGATTTTTGAGTAAAATTACAATATTGCAAATTAAATTACATATAGCAATGCACGGCCCTGCATCATTCACGTTGTGTCTCTGTTTTCTGTTTCTCTTGTTCCAAACCACTCAATGTACTAGTGTTCCAAAGGTTTAGGTGACTCGGCTCAACCAAACCGTTGTCCCTCGACGCCGACTCTTCTCCTGTTACACTGCGCCGCGCGCTCGCGTTGGAAGTGGAGACGTTGCATCACACGTGCCATAGGACAACGCCGCCTCTGAGGCTGCTGCAGCCCTCCCAGGCAGCGTCGGCGTCGCCCGGAATGACGTGACGGCGGGACGAGACGCGCCGCGCCGCGCGTAACACTTTGGGAATCGTCCCTTCATCAACTCATTACATCCACCCCCCTCCCTCCGCAGCGCAATTCCGACCCGTTTTTACGACCGTTTAGTTATTCCCAATTAAATAGGAACACCATTTTTTCTCTCTTGAAGTGGTTTCACGAGTTTGATATAAACCTGTTCTGCGGTTTTTGGCCCCTACCCCCACCCGGGCTTACGGTTTTTTGCGATTGAAGCAAGCGGTTGGACGTTGGATGATTGATACGGTTGATTGATTGCGATTGAAGCAAGCGGTTGGATGATTGAATATACGCTGTTGAGCTTCAACGGTCCCCGGTTCGTTTTCTGGCTGCAGTAGGTTGCTTGCGCTTGGCGCGAGCGCAATGTATCTTGCAAGTTTCTCCTCGTCGCCGACCCGTTCTGCCGCCTTTGTAGTCAGTCGTTACTATTTCTTCTCTACTGGTGCCCTCTTTTCGCTCGTAGTACCTTCACCGTTCACTCAGTGCGATCTAATGCTTTCGTTGTGGAAATCGTTGAGGGACATTTACGCAACGGGACGAAATACGAGGCGTGTATCTCATTTTATGATGAATTTTTGTGATGCATTCATTTATAGGAATTTCTTAAAAATGTAGATCTTAAGGACAACATCTCTCCAAAGAAATGTTACAAGGTTAAAGAACTGGTTTCGGGTTACGAGAAGTCTCCT